CAGAATACAATATCTTGCAGTATTATATTAAAAATAGCCTACATATGCTGTCTGTACATTCCATAAAATATTTTTAAAAATCATTGAATGTTTAAATATTTTCATTTAAACTGTTTTTCATTAGTGAATATCAAAATATATATCAATATGAAGACTCTTGAAAATTTATAAATATTTTACAAGTATATTTCATGTTTACAGTGGCCTGAAACAACATTTGGACACTTACAAATTAATGTTTTTGCATTAGATGCAAAATATCAAACTAAGAGTCATCTACAAACAAATGTTCCTTTTCTCAAAAATATCTTCACCTTTCTGAGCCATTTTTTGCATTGACTGGTCCTGAGCAGGCCCGTAACCAGCTATGAGGCAACCGAGGTCCGGACCTCGGTAAATTTTTCATGTTCAAAAATAAAATTTGTTATTTGACTAATTTGCTGTTAAACTCCTCATACTCCTCCCGCATGACATGTATAATTCAGTTTAGACAGTTTGCAAGAATGTTTAGCGTCCCTGTTCTGAAAATGATCGCTGCGAGACGCTGGCGGAGTGAACGAGGCTTGAGAGAGTTGTGAGTGAGGGCGCGGGCTCAGTCTCCGTGTTACCAGATCCAGCTGTTATAAGCATTTTTAGACTTGTCTTTTCCACTTAATTTAACACTTTAGAAAGTTAATAAAGTAGGAAGTTGCAGTTTAGAGTCAGCTATATCTTTATCTTATCTTATTTGCAAAAGATTGGAAATAATTTTGGTTTATTTTTATTTATTTTTAGTTTTTTGTTCCGAGAGTTGCCTGCTAGGCTTACCACTGCTGTCTCTGCTGCTCGTGTAAATGCTGCTCTCATGTTAGGGCTCTGTGTGTTGAATGGAGGTGTGCATATATAACATGCACTGTGGATGCCCTCAGTGTTTGCTTTGTGCTCTTTTAGTACTGCTTTGACCCACTATGCACAACAATTATAGCCCTCTTTTATAAGTATCTTGTTGTTAGTCAAAATATGCTGTATGAATAATATGATATCAGAACTTTGCAGAATACAATATCTTGCAGTATTATATTAAAAATAGCCTACATATGCTGTCTGTACATTCCATAAAATATTTTTAAAAATCATTGAATGTTTAAATATTTTCATTTAAACTGTTTTTCATTAGTGAATATCAAAATATATATCAATATGAAGACTCTTGAAAATTTATAAATATTTTACAAGTATATTTCATGTTTACAGTGGCCTGAAACAACATTTGGACACTTACAAATTAATGTTTTTGCATTAGATGCAAAATATCAAACTAAGAGTCATCTACAAACAAATGTTCCTTTTCTCAAAAATATCTTCACCTTTCTGAGCCATTTTTTGCATTGACTGGTCCTGAGCAGGCCCGTAACCAGCTATGAGGCAACCGAGGTCCGGACCTCGGTAAATTTTTCATGTTCAAAAATAAAATTTGTTATTTGACTAATTTGCTGTTAAACTCCTCATACTCCTCCCGCATGACATGTATAATTCAGTTTAGACAGTTTGCAAGAATGTTTAGCGTCCCTGTTCTGAAAATGATCGCTGCGAGACGCTGGCGGAGTGAACGAGGCTTGAGAGAGTTGTGAGTGAGGGCGCGGGCTCAGTCTCCGTGTTACCAGATCCAGCTGTTATAAGCATTTTTAGACTTGTTCAAAAATAAAATTTGTTATTTGACTAATTTGCTGTTAAACTTCTCATACTCCTCCCGCATGACATGTATAATTCAGTTTAGATAGTTTGCAAGAATGTTTAGCGTCCCTGTTCTGAAAATGATCGCTGCGAGACGCTGGCGGAGTGAACGAGGCTTGAGAGAGTTGTGAGTGAGGGCGCGGGCTCAGTCTCCGTGTTACCAGATCCAGCTGTTATAAGCATTTTTAGACTTGTCTTTTCCACTTAATTTAACACTTTAGAAAGTTAATAAAGTAGGAAGTTGCAGTTTAGAGTCAGCTATATCTTTATCTTATCTTATTTGCAAAAGATTGGAAATAATTTTGGTTTATTTTTATTTATTTTTAGTTTTTTGTTCGTTTTAGTATCAGTATCTGGCAACACTGCATCGCCGGCACTTAAACTGAAAGCAATCATGGTCTTGAGGTGATTTGATCATCAATTTCACATCGTGAAATATGAAAGTGTCCCAATATATTTATTGTAATTTTAAACAGTATGATAACTTTTAAGTTTAAAAACTTTTAAGTTTAAAGTTTTGGTCAGCTTTCCTCTAGTGTAAAATACTAATTATTTTCTAGACTTTTGAATATTTATGCAATTTAGAAAGTTAATTACATTTTCAATCTGGCAGCTTACAGTGGTCATTACTGTCTTCATCTTCATCCTTCATAATTACACACGCACACAAAGCCAGAAAATCTGCATTAAATTTCTTCTGTACTTTTATAATCTGTTGAAGGGAGTTACTTAGTTAGTCCAGAAAGCAACAGGCTATTGCACAGGAGAAGCTAAAGCTCAAAACTAATATATGTATATATATCATTTGTCTTCTCTCTCCTTTGCCTGTCATGCACTGCTAATACGGACATCTTCAAAGGCTCAGGTCAGTGCCTCATTCTGTGTTTCTCCCTGTGCATCTGTTAACCCCACTGCCCCTCTGGCCTCCGTGGCCCCAGCCCTCCTCTGAATAAGAGGAGCACTAGTGTATTTTGATCACGGGCTGACTGAGATTTGAATTAGTATGAAGTACGTTTTCATGTCATCTCTGGCCCTTCGACTGACATTTGAGAAGGATCAGGGGACTTCATTATCTGGCCCAGAGTACCTACATCCTCCAAGAGGTTACAGGAGCTGACCTGTGAGCAGCATAGCTGGTTTATTTTTCTTAAAATATTACATCCACTTGAGAGCTAGGCAGTGAAAGTTGCTGTGAAGGGGGATAGAATACTATATCTGTGCTATTTAAAGAACAGACGGGAACCATTCCTTAATATGCCATAACCAAACGCCGCCTTTGCATAGTAAAAGTCAGACGGCAGGTTGGATATTTATTGTAGCCTCATAGAAAAACTGTCAGGCGCTGTAAAACTGACTTTCCCCTATTAAGGGCTTTTTAATAAAATTGTTTGCTTCTGTTGATGAGTGCTGCTGAATTAATGATTGTTTCTTAACGTGGCAATTTCATTTCTTGATATCGTCATGTTTTAGAGCTTGATATTTGTCTATGTTAATGAAATTACCCTTTTTTAATGCTTCAGTAGATTTATTGCCAATTTTATTCATCATCTTTTCACTCACTTCTCACATCTTGAGCATCGTCTTAACACTTGTTTGATTATTGTAATTGGAAATGCAATGACACTCATTAAAGGAGAGGAGAGGAGACGAGGGGAGACTAGAGGAGACAAGAGGAGAGCGCTGATGGGGCTTTTAGCAGCTGCAGGGCCAGATGGGATATTTTGAGAGCGTGTGTTAGGGTCTGTATATCCCCTTGGGGAGGAAGCTATAAACGTACAGTCTCATTTGTTCACTGTGTTTTCATAAGCCACTTTCTTACAAGGTTTGTTGGTTTGATTGCCAAGTATTTCGTAACTGAAGTGTTTGGCTTCTGGACTCATTTATGAATGAAATCATGTCTACTGAAGTTAAGAAGCAGGAGAATACCCTACATGCATCACATCAAAAAGCCTGCTGCAAATCTCCCGCCAGTCACCAGCCACAAAAAAATGTAGCATAATCAGAGCAGACACACATCTGACGCAAACCAAAAGAGTGCTGTGAGAAACTGACTGAGGACAACAACACATGATGTTCGCCAACAATTTTCTTCTGTAATGTGACATAATTAAATTTCTAATAAACATAAACAGAATATGCAATGAGTAGGGCTTGATTTTGTTGATCAGAAATTGACCCAATCATGAAACTGGGTATTTCATACCACAAAAGGCCAAAACCTGACTTTAAGTTTATCGTGCATGGTGAAGGGCTGTTTTCCTCCTCAAACACAGGGCAGCCACTTTTGAGGAGTCTTTTTTACCGTGAAGGATAAAGGTCAAGCTATTTGGCTACTGGACAGTTTTGGCTACTGGATAAATGCAAATTCAACCAGTTGACACATTATTAGCAGCAGTTTACATTTGTCTCATTTGTCTCACATTTTTGTTTCTTCTGTGGCAATATTAGTTAATCAAAGTCCCTAATTGTAAGCCCAACGAAATTGATCAATATATGTTCAATGTTCCTCCCACTGTATTGCATGGAATTCCATTGTAAAATGAGTAGAGATGGACCAGCTGTACAAAGCAGTGGGACTTATATAACAATGAGGTTAAATAAAGAAAGATGTTATAAAAAGAAAGAAAAGTTCTGATTTAAGGCTGTCCTATGTTTAAAATTCCCAAGTGATCTATCTCTCCAAAACATTGATTTGTGACCTACACTTCTCTGTTGTCTTTCCAAACTGTTGACTTACAAACGAATTTAGTAATTTTGTATATTAGTCTAGTCTAGTCCTCATAATGCCTGATTTCAACAGTAGATTGAAGCATTATGGTACTGGATATGCACATTTAATATTTTAGATGAATGCAATTGTTGACAATAATTTAAGAATTTTTAAAAACCGCAAAAACAATGTTATAAAAATAACAGTTGATATTCCGTAATCAAACAACACAGTTACTGGTAACCACTCTTACTGCCAGTAAGACAGTTTTAAAAATTGTTTTAGTTTTCTTACTGAAAAAAAAAGCGGATAAAGTTCTTACAAGAGCACAATTAAACAGCCTGTATCTCTATCCCTCACAGCCTTATTTTTGTTTGCATCAGATTAAAGATGGTGTCTACTCTGACGAACATCTACAATACATTTCTTTATTAGACTTTTTGAATATGCTCAAGCTTTTCTTGTTCATGTTAACCACCCTAATGCTTGAGATAAGTCATGCAAGCTTCAATATCACGTTATATTTAAATGGATTTTCTGTACTCAATGCATTATTGCTGTCTCTGTGTGTCTGTAGGTGTATGAGGCTGTGCCCTGTCGAAGTGAGTGCGGTCAGTACGAGTGGGTAACAGACCCCTGGTCAGTCTGCACCATCAACACAGTGGACGAGCTGCCAGCCTGTGGTGAGGGTGTCCAAAGCCGCAAGATTCGGTAAGCAAGGACACGTTATTACAGAATAACCCCATCACAGATGCTTCTCTTGGGGGTCACGACCCACTCCATTCTGCCACCCTCGTCCTCCACATCCTCATTCTGCTGTTCTTTCACTGTGACAGGTGTGTGAGGCATGGCAGTGAGGATCTGGTTAGCAGTGTGAATGAGACCCTGTGCGACCAGGAAGAAATCCCTCTCCAAGCTCAGACCTGCGTCCTGCCATGCCCTAATGACTGTGTGATGTCCCAGTGGAGTCAATGGAGCACCTGTTCAATAGTAAGATGTCCTTTTTGTCTGCTGCTATATCCTCAAGGCACAATTTAAAATGTATGCAACATTCTGAGCCGACTGTGATGCAAGGACCAGCATACAGAGGCCCCAGAAAGTATTTGTGTAGTTTTGGACACTTAAGCCAAGTGTGCAATAAGACCAATAATATTTACATTACTGTTCAAAAGTTTGGGGTTGGTAAGGTTATGTAATGTTTTTAAAAGAAGTCTTGTCTGCTCACCAAGACAGCATTTATCAAAAATCATAAATATTTTAAATGTAAAATAACTGTTTTCAATTTTAATATATGTTATAATGTAATTTATTCCTGTGATGGCAAAGCTGAATTTTCATCATCATTACTCCAGTCTTCAGTGTCACATGATCCTTCAGAAATCATTCTAATATGTTGATTTAGTGCTTAAGAAGCATTTCTTATTATTATCAATGTTGACAACAGTTGTGCTGTCTAATATTTTTACGGAAAGTGTAATAGATTTTTTTCTGGGTTTTTTGATGAATAGAAGGTTCAAAAGAACAGCATTTATTTGAAATAGAAATCTTTTGTAACAATGTAAAAGTTTCATTTTGATTAAACAAATATTGCATCCTTCTGAATAAAAGTATAAATGTCTTTAAAAAAAAGGTCTTATTGACCTCAATTTTTTTTTCAATGGTAGTGTAAGTTAAATATTAATTTGTCTAGTTAAATTTATAATAAAACACTAAAAACTTTTAAAAGCTAAAACAATTAAAAGCTACACGTAAATTTAGACAACGATTTATGGAACAGTAATACTTGCTTATAAATAAGTATAAATTGCGCTTTAATTTATTATGAGCATGTGTTGCATAGAAAGTGTTAGCATTACTTTTAACAGTGTAATTAGCCAATTATTAGAGTTTTAATGCGTGTTGGATGACAGCAAAGATATTAGGATATTAATTAAAAGATATTAAGAAAATATATCGACCAATACTAATGAAATTCCCAAAATCGTAACAATATACAATGTGCATCTCTAGTCCCAAAGTGTTTTCTTCAAAGTCAGTAGTAAGTTCAGGTGTAGATCGCCATATTAACTTTGGACATGTTCCACTAACATTTCACCAGCAATCATACTGCTCTAAGCTGTCTTCAGCAAGATTGCTGTGTTGACATTGTTTTATAGGTTAAAATTATGCACTGGTGTTTATAGGCTCGTAAAAAATGTGCCTCTAGAGACATAATTTCAGTCTGTGAATTAAGAACAGGAATGTTTTACAGTATATTTTTGCACGATTCTTTCTGAGCTCGGGCCATGACATAAGAGTGTCGAGATGTTTTGCATCTATTTGAATATTTCACATTAATTCTACCTTGCAAGTCAAATCTTCATACAGTTCCTGCGGCGAAATTTCAAACACTGAATACGGAGACAACTGAAATCAGTATGCAGATGAACCTCCAGTAGTAATGAAGCATTTGTTATTCTAATTAATGTTGTGCATAAAAAGTTACCCTAGATACAGTTTGCCATCGGGCCTCTGACTTCAATTCGTACTCAACAAATCAGAAACAAATTGGTTGAGTTATCCTGGCTCGGCCCAACCTACACAAGACTGCCAGGCCATTTCAGCATAATTTGGTCTCTACACTAATCACTTTAGATCGCAATTCTACCTTGTACGGTCTCAGTTCCAAGCAATGTTTGTTCTCTTCGCTATGTCAAAGCGCTCAGCCAGCACTGCGAACATGTCAAACACCAGGGTTCTGTGATTGAGCTTGTTTAATTAGTTTCGGTTTTACATAATTATGAAATGTTCCCAAAAAACCTGGGTGCACAGATATATGGCACTAGCCGAATAGAGCTCCTGCTGATGATCAGCCTCCTCAGTAGTGAGATACATGCACATGGCCAGCTAGCCGTTTAAAGGGTCTCATTAGCGTCTGACAGTGATGGAGATGCAGATTAGTTGCTGCCTGCAGCCTAACGGCTTCTAACAGTGCACTTAGCATCGCAAGACCATGTGGCTGCCTGACTGCTGGGGTTTTTTTATTTTCTTTTTACAATGCAGTATGACACAGCACAGCGGTTATTGCTCAGCTTGCCTATGCATATGCACTTTTTTTTTATGTAGTGTCTAGACTTTGATGTGTTTGGCATCAAAGCCCTCTTGACATTTTAACTGTATTTATTTGTAGCCATGTAATGAAAGCACAGTGAGGATGAGGACGAGACACATGCTGCGCCCCCCAGTGGCCGACAGAGTGTGTCCAGACAGCACCCAGACAGAGCCCTGCAGCCTCAACAGCACCTGCTTCAATTATCACTACAATGTCTCCAGTGGGTCTCTCTCATTCTGCTTGACACAACACTAAATATAAAATGAGCATCTAATGACTGTTGCATGACTCACTTCAACAGCACATTTCGGCATCTCATTCTAAAGCAGTGGTTCTTCTCAACCTTTTTGATTTGAAGGCACCCATTGTCCAACACAATATTTGGAGATTTCTGGTATTTCTGCTTTATCTATGATAAATCTGCTTGTTTTCAGAGTTGTTGTTGTTGTTGTTTTTTTACGGCAACTTGTTGATTAAGCTAATTCAATAACTTACATGAACAGTACTTTTACAGCATCTATTTTTCTTGATTAATGTTAATTTCTACATATGCTAATACATTTAAAAATTTTAAAGGGACACTCCATCCAAAATTCTCTTATCATTAATTCACCCTTATGCCATCCTAGAAGTATATGACTTATTTTCTTCAGATGAACACAAATATAAAAAAATAAAAATCCATCTCTATGGGTCCATAAAATGCAAGTGAACAGGACTTTTACAGTTCATGTGTCAGAAACTACACAAAGCAAACATAACGGCAACTCATGCATAACTCCAGTTGTTAAATCAGTTTCTTCTAAAGTAAAATGATAGGTGTGTGTGTGTGTGTGTGTGTGTGTGTGTGTGTGAAAAATACAAATATTTGCATTATATGGACAAAGATGGATTGTATTTCTAAAAATCTTGCTTGTTCATCTGAAGAAGGAAAAGCCATATATGTATCTGTCATATATACTGTATATGTCAAAGTCTTTTTTTCCATTGTTAGATACCTAAAAAATTTTAACAAATTGAACCTTATTGTAATGTGTTATCAATGATACTTTGTTTTATTTATTTTTTTCATATTGTATATTGAACCCCAGATTCCCAGTGTTGGCCAGGCTGTATGTCTATTGATAAAAGTGGCAAAAAGTATAAAGAGATGTTATAAAGACATCCTCCCTACACTCTAAAAAATGCTGGGTTGTTTCAACCCAACTTTGGGTCAAATATGGACTAACCCAACTTTTGGGTTAAAAATTTTATGTAAAAATTTAACCCAACGGTTGGGTTAGTCCATATTTGACCCAAAGTTGGGTTGAAACAACCCGCCATTTTTAGAGTGTAATGCAATCTGATAAAGTGCCTTTATCAAGGACACAACAGCGATCGATCTAGGATCAACCCTTGCAAGGTTCTACCTGCAGTCTTTTGAGCATCAGTCCAGATCTTTAATAGGATATGCAGCCCATAAAAGAAAACCTTTCAGTTGGGTACTGGGAGATACTGTCCACTGTACTAATAAAGGGAACATGTTAATCTAGTGCATATCTTCACACTCTCTGACTTCACTCTGCCTCACATAGCAGGTTCTTGGGTATATGATAGATATGATATGATGTTCAGAGTTTGCACTTCAAGCAAGATCAAGGCTCAAACCCTTCCTCTCTCCTTCACGCTATTCTCACACGTTAACATCTCCACTGAGAATGTGATTTCTGAACTGCTGTTAATCCACTGCTTTGTCCAGTCGGCTGCAGCCACCCCATGCCATATTGTGCTCAGTAGGACATTGGCACATGTGAAGTATCGTCCTGTAAAGCAGATAGATACTAATTCTCCAGATAGAGCCTAATGAAGGAAATGGGCATGGAGATATGAATGAGATGATAAGCGCTTTACTGCACAAAGACCATGAAATCGCTGATCATATCAATACTGATACTCCTCCTCAAAGCCATTTGACTGACTTAAGGCCAGATTAGTATCGTAAAGGCGGTCTAACTTCTGCCCTCAGATCACAATGCATCTTTCTCTATTCTACTTTGCTATTTCATAGGCATTAGCTTAATCACAATTTGCATATTTCTGTGAAAACTACACTCAGAAATTACACTGTTTGGGGTAAGAAAGATTTTTTTGTTGTTGTTGTTGTTTTTGAAAGAAGTCTCTTATGCTTACCAAGGCTGCATTCATTTGATGAAAAATACAGTAAAAACAGAAAAAAATCTTACTGACCAGAAAATTTTGAACGGTATAGTGTACATATGTAAAATAATTTTAAGTATGAACTGAGTCAGAATGGCAATACCGGAAAATCTTAGAATTTCATAGAATTGCATCTTAGAATAGCATCAGACAACATTATTGATTATGGACATTATTAGCCCAGAAAGCATGCATGCATACAATATCTAATGGAAGTATGCAATCCAGGCTTGTATGAATGTATTGTGATGAGACACACTCTTGATGTTGCATTTAATTGAAAGGCTATTTGAAAGGAATTGAAATGCTCTGGACAAGGACACAGAATATGATATTTAAATGATACTCTAGTCTGACGTTTCCCGTGTGTGTGTTCTTTTGTATCCTTTGGTTACGGGTCAGGCTGGAGCACCTGTCAGCTGAGCGAACATGCCATCTGCGGCCAGGGCATGAGGACACGACTCTTAGATTGCATCCGCAGCGATGGCAAAGTTGTGGATTTAAGCGTGTGTGAGGAGGTAACCTTCATTTCCTGCCGCCCCTCTCAGTACAAGTGTTCTCTGAGGGGGAATTAAGCACTGTGGGATTGTATTATGTCCTTCAACTGCATGTACTGCAAATCAGCCATGACTGTCCATTAACTCCCTACAGTATTGCTCCATATCCAGAAAATGATTCTTTCATTGAAGCCTTTTACAGTAATAGCCTCTCATTGGCTCACGGCTGGTCCATCAGACAGAGATTGTGTGTGGTGAGGGGACGTGGGGTTAATGGCTGTCCCGCTGTTTTAGCTGGGCCTGCCTCAACCGTGGAGACTGGCGATGAACTGTGTGGTGGACTGTCCCTTTAACTGCATCCTGTCTGACTGGGCACCCTGGTTCTATTTATTCTGAAAGTTACTTTGAGTTACTTTTTATTCACAGGAATAAGTTACATTTTAATATATATTTAAATAGAAAACAGTTATTTTTAATTGTAGTATTTCAAATATTATTGGTTTTACTGTTTTCTATAAAAATGCAGACGTTGTGAGCATAAGAACCTTTTTCCAAAAACATTTTTTAAAACTTTTGAACATTAATTTATTTGTATAGCGCTTTTCACAATAAATATAATTTTCCTTCCATGACAGTAACCTTGACTCAAAACATGCAGACTTTAATTCTCAAAACTGCTCATGTACAGTAAATTTGCAGAAGAATCCTACTAAAGGTAGAAGCCCAAAATAGCAATAATTTCAGTTTTAAGAAGCAATCAGCAGTATTTAGAAGGATCAGGGAGAAACATGCTTGCAAATTACAGTTTGCAATAATATATCAAGCGTAGCGTTAGTTCTGGCAGGTCACGTTAGTCGAGCTCGCATCAGCTGACTCTCAGCTGATCCCCATTTACCTATGGGAATACGACACCTATCTAAGCATTCATATATAAGGTCCCTCAGTATTATCAGCAGTTTTCGCATTGCTCAATAGCTAATTACCCTCCTCCATCCCCAGCTCCTCCTCTGTCAGTCGGGATTCAGCCTTCTGGTTCTCCTTTGAATCAGACTAATTCTAAAATGTGTACATAAAATCATTGAACTTAAACAATATCTGCAATACATTTATGTTGGTTCTGTTCTGTTTACCCTGGGGGGTTATCGCTGCTCTCCCTGCTCTCATCCATGCTAGACTGCATGGATGCGCAGGGAGTTCTTGCCCAGAACAGAACCATACCGCCAATCCAAACTGTATGCTAATTGTCAATCATATTTGACGATAGTGGTCCTGACAGAATTAATGTTCTTGTGCTGCTGACCCATTTTCATTTGCATGCAACCTAACCCACAAACCTGTGCACTCGGGTTCCATGGAGATAAACACTCTGCTTGCTCTAGGCTCACACTATCAGGTGGTGTGCATTTACTTTGCATTCATTAACATGCCCTGTCGGAATCCCTTTTTAATTATGGATGTTATGTCATGAATCATATTTAAGGATCGGCTTACAGGTTAATGACTCTGGGTTATAAAACCCTTGGTTTCCTGAATACGCCAAATGATTTATCAGTCAAAGGGAAATATTTATTTTACCCATTAGTGTTCTCAAAATTGCAATTGTGAATTCAGTGTTTGTTGCCCTGTTTGCCTGATGGAACGGTGTTATTGCTTCATGCAATATAAAATGTGCTAATTACTAGTCTTAAGAGCAGCCCAGGTCCCTAAAGTTCAAATGACCCAGCTCCTTAGGAGTTCAGCTTGTTTTTCTCCTAATTAGACACGTTCAACACAATCTTCATTAATTTTCATTCAGCCATCAGCTTTTCTATCTCGGCCAGGCAGTTTACTTTTTAAATCCAGAGACCAGCCGCCCGGCATACCTATCTGCTACTGGCACAACACTTGAGTTCTTCAGGCTATGCAAACAGGAAGTTCTCAGCATGTTTTCGGTTACATACACAGGTGTAGAAATAAACGCAAGCTGTGCTGGCTGTAAAAAGGAAATTTCTTGTCTGTGTCAAAGCAGTGTTGTCTCTTGCACACCTCACTGGAGACCGAGAGATTGGGGTTCATTATGTGTTGTATATATGCACAGAGTTTTAATGCATCTGGAAGTGGAGCTCAGGAAACCCAAAGAACTCTGTGCTTTCCCCTTTTTTCTTTCTTCATTCTAGCCCTCTTTTCTGTCTATTTCCCCCCAACCCTCCTCCATCTTCCTACAGGATCAAGTAGAGATATTTCCTCTGTCAAATCACGTCATTTTAAGGGCTCCCTTATCTGGCCGGAGTGCTTCTGTTTTAATGAATGACATGCTTGAAGCGGCCAGCTGTAGAAGCTGCCTGGCTCTTGCAGGCAGCACAAAACATGAATTTGATGAGCAGTTATGTTGTGCTGTGAATGTAATTTCATTTTTTTTTCTCTTCTTGTTAAATGTTTAATGCTCGACTGGACGGAGGGCTCTTTACAGTCAAACTCACTGGAGTGCAGTTCAGTTCAGTTCAGTTATACAATTATGAAGGGTCTGCATTTTCCCTTTTTTTTTTTCTTCAGAATTTGGGTGAATGGAGTGATAGCCCCAAAACTGTATTCTTCTGAAAAGCTTGGCCTAAGCTTCAGTGCTGTCAGTTTCCATGTTAATTTAGGACGTCCTGTTCTAGTTAACTCTAATGTGTTGTTAGGCAGGCCTAGAGCTGCTATATGCAGTGAACTTCTATATGTCCCTGCTGTGTAAAATTGTTCATCATTTACTCACCCTCATGTCATTCGTTCTTCTGTGGAACACAAAAGAAGATGTTTTACAAAATGTCCAAGCTGCTCTTTTCCATACATTGAAAGTGAATGAAGACCAAGTGCTGTCAAGCTCCGAAAAGAGCAAATAAGTATCATTGTGCGCTGTGTAGATTACCAAGTCTTCTGTCATATGATAGATGTGTGTGAGGAACAGAAAGAAATTAAAGGCATTAATCACTCAAAATCTTTGTGTAACTCTCAAATCTCATTTTTGTTTACTGGTGTTTCTTCACATATGGACAATTTTTAGAAAAACCTTTCTCATTAGTTTACTTAACTTGTTCATTAACAATGTCTGACAGTGGGCATATATACATCACAGGAGGAGTCATTTGTTTTGTTTTTTGTTTTGTTTGAAAATGGTTTCCACCATGTCTTAGTTTTTTAATTGTTTAATCTCATTCTTTTGTGAAAGTGTTTTATGCAGCAGCAGCTTGTTGTCCACCACAGAGAGCCACTGGATAAGAAATCCTTTTTAGGTCTTACAGCTCAGAATCAGTGTAAATGGTTCATTTAAATTGGTTCATTACTGGCACAGTCTCCTTGATATGCACTGACATCTAAAAAATACACAAAAAAATTATATTTATTTTATGGAATAAATATTAAATAATTTATTTTGGTCTTTGTTTAGATTATCATAGTTTTAAACATGCCTAAACTGGCCTGGACCAACATGAAATTCATACTGGTGTAAGATGATCTTGAGCCATCTCAGATGACTGTTTCTGTCTATTCCTGAATTGTACAGTTTATAAATATTGCAACTATATGTGTGAATAATACATGAATCCACATCATTGTCCCAAGCTGCTAGAGACTCTAATGCAGGCTTGATGTATTTTTAGCCCATCCTCTGCTGTTTGCCATATTTTCATACAGTGCATTCACAGATGTCTCTTCACGTACATCTCTGTTGCAGGTGTTATGATTCGCTCTCGCAGCATGCTTCAGCAAGGTCATGAGGAGGGACGCCCGTGCGCCTCTCAGCTTTCCCAGACCAAACCCTGTCCCATCAGCCCCTGCTACACGTGGCTTCTGAGCGATTGGTCTCCCTGCACAGTGGAGGTAGATTCTGGGCAAAAATAATTGGATCTGCGTGTATTTTGCAGTTACTGGTTATTGCACATCACCTAACCTGAGGGCATTCAATCCATGTTTCATATGACCAAGTGGTGTTGAGACCAGCCGCCCGGCATACCTATCTGCTACTGGCACAACACTTGAGTTCTTTAATTGAATTTTGTAGAAATTGCACACATGCTGAGTTTGTATGTGGGAGAGAGGGACTTTGTGTCATTGAGACATGAGGTAACTGCTGATTAAAATCATGTTGCGATCCACGGTCTTATCATTAGAGAAGAACAGTGGCAGAGTTCAGATTTTCATCTCCTCTCTTCTGCTTTTCTCTCCTCTCTCTTTTGTATCTGCAAAGGATTTTAATTGTATGTCTTGGGGTTTTGCACACGTCCCTGGAGTCGTGCTTGGCCAGATCAAAAGCTGTCGTCCTCATAATATGAACAAAAGAAACGTTGCACACTTTTAACATATATTTGTGCTTTCTTTGGTGCTTGGTGTGATGGACACTTTTATATTCATAAACATTAACACAATTCTGTGATATGTGTGAGTCAGCCACGTCTATCAGCGGATCCCTCTATGAGCAGATATCTGTGTAAGCGCTCAGTGAAGAGTATGAAGCGATGGTCATTGTAGCCAATCACAGACATATCTGTTGAGCATGAGAACACAATGGCTGGAAATGCTGGTATCATCACATTATAAAAATTTCAGTACCGACTGGTACCGACATCGGTACTTTTAGTTGTAGTTTGTGTTATTACATACAATTCTAGAGACATGCTAAACCAAAAATCTGAAAAGATGCAATTTTCATAGTTAACATTTGCAAGGCAAATTATGTTTAATTGGAAAAGAAAATTTGTAACACATGCAATAACAACAGGAAGAAATGTGATTTAGGTAGGTTTAGCTTACCTGTCGAGAAGAAACAGTGCAGGTTCATTGTCTCAATTGAAACCCAAACACTGCACTTCTGTAACCGAATCTGAATTTCTTTTCAATGTCACGTGTCAGCTGTGGTCCCACACCAGCTAAACACCCTCTGGCTCAGCCTGCCACAGTAGCCACACCCCAAACTCGTACCATTGGCTGAGCTGATTAAGATAATGTATTTTGACATAAAAATCTTACAAACTTTAGCTTTAGGCAAAAGTTGTTTATGACAAGAATTTAAGGCATTAAAGGGATAGTTCACCCAAAAAATGAAAATTGTAATTTACTCACCCTTTATTTTCAAGAATGTTCTTATCCAAACAGTTGATGGTAGCTATTAACTTCTATAGTATAGAAATACTGTTGAAGGCATAGGCTACCATCAACTGTTTGGTTACCAACATTCTTCAAAATATCTTCTTTTGTGTTGAACAGAAGAAAGAAACTCTTACAGGTTTGGAACAACTTGAGGCTGAGTAAATGATGACAGAATTTTAATTTTCGGGTGAACTATCACAGAAGTTTGTTAGATTTATACTTACAACTAAACAAAAGCAACTTTAAAAATGTTAAATTATTAATTTAAATTTAAATTTAACAAAAAAAATAGATATAATTACAAAAGGTCTCTGAAAACAAATATCTTATGGTGCGTTCAAGTCATGTCGGATAGATCGTATTTACGAGCTGAACACACATGAACGCCACCACAAAGTCGTTATTACGAGTGGGAAACTCGAAATTTTCTTAAAGCCCCGAGTTTCCGAGTTGGGGGCGTGTCAATGACAAACATGGCGGAATCGATGGATGCAACATCTGTAGTTGACGGTAAATTTTTGTTTAAATTGATAGTTTAGTTGTCCTATAAACTTAAATTGGTCATGTTCTTGTTACGCAGCTAGTTAATGAAATCCAAGTAAAAAAAATGCTATAATTTTTGCACCTATAGGTGAAAAATCTTTTGATTTGCCATGTTGCATTTAGCTAACAGCTTTTTCTAATCTCTGTATTTTAGCATTTGTTGATGCTAAAATTCAGTTATACTGGGATCCTGGTCTAAAAAAAAATATTAAAAACGCAAAACACACCTGATGCGAACGTCCCAGGAGGACTTGAGCATCATTATGCAATATTGTGTGGGGTTTTTTTTTTTTGGATGTTTAGATATTTTTATTGGCAAATACGACAAAAATACTGATAAAAATTTTTGCTGTGATAGTTGAAACCTCAGCTGTGTGATCAGGTCACATACTCACATTCATGAGAAATGCCATAGCATGTTTCAATCCCAGCTGTCAGTCATTCAGAGAGAGGTGTCACTGTAATAAGCTCCTCTGCCTCACTGCTCACAGCTCGTCCAGATTAATGAGTCAGCCGCGCGGTTTTGTGCAGGGGGCAGAATGTGGAGAGGGCAAGAGGGAGAGGAACCTGACGTGTGTGGTGCACTGGTCAGACTGGCCGGACAACTCCTTCCCTTCGAAAACGGTAGAGGACGAGAAATGTGGAGACCGAGTGAGAAAGGAAAGCGAGCAGGAACTGCAGCAGCCGTGTTTCGTCCCCTGTCCAGGTACAACACTGATTCGAAGCAACATTTCTTTTACTTCTTGTTTACATTTTTGTGCACTGATGCTCATGATTCATTTAACACGATTTATTGTTTCATAATCAGTGGCGGATGTTGATAAAGGAATGTTTTTTACTACTACTCACTACATCACAGTAGAAATATCCTAGGAATTAATATCTGTCATGTTCAGTGAAATGAAATGAAAGTTTGTCGAGCAATGTCCCACTTTTTTAACCTGTGAATACATTTCACCTTCAGGCTATCGTTGACTTGTGTTAGCCTTACTTCTGTGTCTCTCTTCATTTCGTAAATGTGCTGCGTGCTCTCAGGGATGAACATATGCTGGGAGGAGAGGGGAAGAAAGATGTTAGAGTAAGAAAGGTAGAGACAAAAAAGAGAGAATCTAAGAAATGAACGAGTTAGAGAGGGTGGCATATGGTGTGCAGTGTGCAATGCTGTATTATATATTTCGGCAGCTCCAGTGAGGGATGAAAATAGACTGGCTTCATGAAGATGATGGATAATGAGATGCCTGGGCACACAGATTGTCTCTAATAGCCATCCTGGCTGCAGAATCAAAAGGACATCATGGCTGAAGAGCTTGTGCTAGCATGCGCAGGTGGGGGGGTAGCTGTCGCTGTGAATCGGCCTGTGTTCTGAGGCATTCGAAGGGTCAGTGATGTATTACCTTCAGCTAAGGAAGCATTAAATGTATCTGAAGACTTCGTCATGCATTCAATTCTATGACAGGAGGATCAGATCAATCTCGCTGGCCTGCACAAGAAAAAAGAAAAAAAACTTTTTATGCATGTTTGTATTGTGCATACAGGGCCGTTTCTAGGCATAGGCGAGTTAGGCGGTCGCCTAGGGCGCCACCAGCTGAAGGGGCGCCAATGAGCGCACGTACTGGCACTTTTAGCAGGGTTGTCATAAAGAGTGGCACGGTCACCCTGAAATATGACTGCCGCCCCCACTGGATCCCCCAACATTATTGGGCTAGAGTACTGTCAATCTGACGATGCCTGTATGCCACTAGATCAGATACTTTATTCTTCTTCTTATTATTATTATTATTAGTAGTAGTAGTAGTTTGAATTTGAAGTTTGAATCTATATTTGTAAGTTTAAATGTGTCATTTTTAAGTAAGCGATAATGTACATCCAGCCGGTTCTTATCGCAGAATAAACTCCGACAGGATGATCAGGACCCCGATGCGAAACTATTTACCACATAAGTAAATAATCAGAATATTGATTTGAGTTAAAATATTTTATTAGCTCTTTAAACGCAAGCTTCACAAATGGCTTTGAGCCTAGACGCATTTCAGACAAGACAAGACATTTAAGGCATAATGTATCACTAACTAGACAACTTTTCAGCACAAAAATAAAGACGAGGACATAATACAACTTAAGGTGAGAAGAAAGCGTTTTAAAGTCTTACCTGTTTATTATCTTAAATCCATTACAGTGTACAAAACAATCATTCTGTCAACAAGACAAACACTTCAATAATAACGTTACAGTAAGCCTACTATTAATACTGAAGTCTTCTGGTTTCATTTTACAGTAAATACAGGCACAAGATGATAGCAGTTGTGTTTGAATGAAGAGATCACAGCAGTGTGATACAGAAAGATGCGCTGGCACAAAATAACCGGATGAGTGGTGTGATATTCGGTGTTATGTTGCGACTGACCTATCAGAATCACGTATTCGAGAATTGTGTAATAAGTTTAAATACATGAACCTTAGAGTTTTAGTGTAATCATTTAACCAGATGCTAACGCTAGTAGCAGTGTTTACTTAGTATTATTTTTATACTATTAATATTTTGAATTTGCCCATTTTTTATATTTTCTGTTGTCAATTTATTTTATTTAGTTTTAGTAATTGTGTGTGTTGGTCATTTTATTAATTTTTGATTTATATATATATATATATATATATATATATAAAAAAAAAATTTTGTTTGTTTTTTTTTTGTTTGTTTTTTCCCTATTTATCTTAATTTGTATTTTATTTAGATGCCAAGGCAACACTTCTAGTTTAAGTGTTTAATTTTTTTATTTACTTCAGATTTATTTTAATTAACGAAAATGATTTTTTTAATAGCATTAGTTTTAGTTAACAATAACAACACTGACTAGCAGTATGCTACAAAGGGGTTTGTTGTTTTATGTGGCGGTACAATACCCCAAGAATCTTGTACTTACTACACGCTTCAAAGTACCTCCCAGTATTCAAATTCGGATTCATGGTATAGCATTCCTTCTTTCTTTGTACTTACTAACTGTACCGTTGGAGTTCCTTCATAAGTATTAAATTATCATGGTATTCATTTAAACTGTAGAAGTGAAGTTGTGATATGTGATTTGTCATCTACAGGAGACTGTCACCTTACAGAGTGGTCGCAGTGGAGTTCCTGTCAGCTGACGTGTCTGGAAGGACGTAGTTTTGAGACGGTGGGCCGTCAGGCACGCTCACAGGCTGTGGTCATACAAGTGCTGGAGAATCAGGACAGCTGCCCTCACCAAGTCTTTGAGACACGTCCATGTAAAGGTACAAGCAGTGAAATATGATAATATAATATAATAAAATATATATATATTCTAATATAATATGCAGTAATATATGTGCTTTGTATGGAAGCCCATTTCTGATAAATATTATATGACAGTCATAATTGACTGTTGAAATTAGATGATAAAAGTTTAACTTTTTATGGCATATTTATGACTTTTTATGTCATAATTATCTCATAATTATTATTTAACAAAGTGTGAAATTAGTTTCCATAGTTTAAAATCTGATTTAAAATAAAATTATTTTGAATGTGTGCATTTTGCGTTTTTTTGGGATATGACGAATGATGTATATACATCATTCAAGGTGTACAGTATGCTAATTTTCATTCAGTTTACTGTGGGACTTCCACAATGTACAGTAGTTTGTAGTGAATGAATGAACAAGTCAGCTGTTTTGGACACAGTATATGCATGAATGCATAAAATGTCTCTGTCTCTTGTAATCTCATGCACCTTGTAAGTTCATCACTACAACAAAGATGTCATGATAGAAATTCAGTCCTCTCTTCCCACGACTCTCAGGTGTATATCAGAAGGTCTCTTGGCATCTTGTTGACGCCAACATCACTGCACTGTATAAGATACACCAGAGATGTTCAGACAAACAAATGAATCGCATTTCATCATTTACGGAATGATGGTGCGTGCAGTCAGTCCCAAAGATCTGATTTTAAAGGTAAATTGAATTTGAGTGTAGTGTGAACAAATCCTACATATTCAGTGGAGATACAGTGGGTACGGAAAGTATTCAGACCCCCTTAAATTTTTCACTCTTTGTTATGAATTTTCTAACATTGATCAAACCAATACAATATTGAAGTAGGTTTTTTGCACCCTTACCCAGACTGTCTATACCTTGGGGTCAGTAACAATTTCTAAAAGAAAAGTATTTAATTAAAGAAATACATTTATTGAGCATTGATCCATTAAATTTATCAAATGTGACAGTAAAGACATTTATAATGTTACAAAATATTTCTGATTTTCTTTTCTAATTTCTGTTCATCAAAGAATCCTGAAAAAAAGTTCTGTTTTCAACATTGACAATAATAAGAAATGTTTCTTGAGCATCAAATCAGTATATTAGAATGGTTTCTGAAGGATCATGTGGCACTGAAGACTGGAGTAATGAAGCTGAAAATTCAACTTTGCATCACAGGAATAAATTACATTTTTTTCTATGAGAAAAGACTTTAAAATATAGAAATATAGTCTTTTTAAATATTTCACAATAATATTGTTTTTATTGTATTTTTGATCAAATAAATGCAGGATTTGTGAGCAGAAGAGACTTCTTTCTAATGCATTAAAAACAATCTTACCAAGCCCAATATTATATATACAGCGGGTATAAAAAAGAATCAGCCCCCTTTAAAATAATCACATTTTGTTGCTTTGCAGCCTGAAATAAAGATGGACACAGTTTTTGTTTTATCCAGCTGTATTTACTCAGTGCAACTTATAACATCCAAGTGAAAGATATAACACCAACATGTCCGAAAATAATAAATAAATAAAAAAGGTTTGAAAAAGGATCACCCCCTCCTAAAAATGACTTGTAAACTCAATCAGGTGTAGCTAATCACCTTCTCAATGGCACAAAAAGCCATCTGACTTTGAACTGTGATCAGCTGTGCTCATTTTGATTAGCTCAGCATGAAAAGAGCTTTCCTGGACCATTTCAGTCCTTGGTAGTGCAACTGAAGCAA